CAAGCAGTTCAAAGTAAATAAATATAAAATCGCTTATCTGACAATCATTTTACATTTTACATTGTTTAAATCGACCTTGAATTGGTGGAGATATGCACGATTGAATGTTGCAAAAAAAATTCCGGTTTTTTTTTTGTCCCACACTGTATCTATTTATTATATAACTTATTATTATTCATATATTTAAAATAAAACCACCTAAAGTATTCCTGAGGGTTAGTATTTTAGATTTTATTTCGTTATCCCTGAGGGCTGGTAACATTTTTTTTTACTTTGATTTTTATATACTAATACAGTTATTTTACCCGACACAAAAAATCCCTCATGCTCAGTACAAATAAACTACAGAATTTATTTATTTTTCAACATCTACTTCAACTTCAATCAGGCTGGATACTGATAGCTATTTCATTCGAGAATAGTAGCGAATAAGATACTCAAAACATCCACCTCAATTTCATATCGACTGGAGACGATCAGCTTCTTAATAGAAGTGGCGAGTAAGATGTACTTATATTGTTGTATTAATAAATAACGGGAAAAAATAATTATTATCTCATTATCGTGAATCACGCTCTACTCATTAGAAAGATCAATCACTTGATCCCAACCAAGTCTCAGTCTATGAGGATGTTCAGGAGGTACACTTAAATCGAAGACGATAAATTTCTGTTCACATAGATGCTTATTAACGATTTTATATACATTGCGCCAATCATTAACATATAAACGAAGTATTCTACTTAGCTCATCTGAAGTACAAGAGCCATTGAATAATACAACATATTTTAAGTTTTTTCTTATTAGTTTCGGACAATCAAAATAGCTTTGTGAGATGTACATCGAAGAAACATTGGAATGGCCCCTCAGTAAAATAAGGTATAATCTTTTCTTGAATTTTCTTTGGCTCAGTACATACATCCTCAAATATAACCACTGTACCTCTTTCCGGTGAGAATGAATCTAGCTTCGGAATCTTATCAGGCTTCATAGCCCGAAATGTAATATCTTCACGATATGGTTCTGGACTATTTGCAATTATTTGAAATGCTGATTTAAGGTATATATATTTTGGTTCCTTGAGGTTATGACCAATTAATATAACATCACCGCACTTAATATCTCTAGTTCCTCCTTTTTTACTATTAAACATTCTATGTAGTTTATTTCCTAGCAAAAGATTAACAACTTCTGTGGTCTTTCCTGAATTGGTTCGCCCTGCGATTAAAATTGTAAAGGGCCATTGAGGAGTCGAGTTTTTTGAATTATATTTCTTAGGCTGTTTATATTCATCGATATTATATGCAAACCTTCGAGCTTTTCTATTTTCATACCAGTCAAGCTAAGTCACTAATTATTATATCAAAAAATAATAGCACAGATTACTATTCCTAAACATATATATACATTAATTTTGTTTATCGTTTTTGATTTATAAATTAAATATTATATAGCGAATATAAAATGGCTGAACTTCGTGAACAACTTTCCGAATTTATAGGTTTCAAACCTGATGATATTTGTTTTCCAGAAACAAAGAGAGATCAATGACTATTTCGAAAAATTATTGCGGATCAAAAAATGGCAACAAATATAGATGATTTTCATTTCTTGCTCTGTACTGGATATAATGGTAAAGGAGGTCGATTAATACATATCGGGTGGTTAATATGTGTAATACGAAAAGAATGTGAAAAAGTTTTGTTAAATATCCCTCATGACATTACTAATAAAATCATAACTCATCTTCAATATAAATTTAAAGATATTCTATTGGCGCCAGTAGTAAGGTATCCAAATATCCCATCACAATTGAATTCAGAGTATGATATTATTTAGTCATACTTCCGAAACAGTATCAATTATTATGTTCGTTAATATCTGTATTTTTTAAATATCCTTTTTTAAGCAATTTACCTTTAATGAACGGATATAAATCAGCATCATACGGTATTAAATATAAGGCCTATACCTTCTCGAGCACATATATCCCGCTTTTTTTGATCTCGGTATTTTTGTGAGTCTAAATCTATCTTGCCTCGCTTATGAAACATTGGATTCTCAGAAAAATGTTGAGGCCCCTGGAATTCGTATGCCAATTTTAATTCTTCATTATATCCATCTAATTGCATCCCATTCAAAAATAACGGTTTACAAGATGGAAATTTCTTACCTAACAAATCTTCGAAAATATATCTACAGCGACACTCATCGGTATGGTGAAAACAAACTGGACACCACTCGAATTTTTGCTTCTGGGTTTTATAAGGTGCTTCCCATTGATGGAGTCCATTTTCACATGACCAAAGATATACGTTTAGGCCATTTATATGATCAGTTTTACCAAGCATTTCCACCACGCTTTTCTGCATATGCAACGGCTTTAGCCATTTTATTAACTACACGGATGAAATTAATAGATTTAGAGCGAGTATTTTCTTCCAATATACTCTGGGGCGGATACTGAAGTGTGTCAATATTCACGCGCATGAGTTCCTCAAGTACAAACCCACGTGTAGGTGCAAATTCTCCATCTAAATAATATAATACTGGCTCATTCTTTGTTACTACAATTTTTCGGATTTTATGTAAAGAAGGGCTCCAAATTTCATCCGTTGCACGCCTTTGATTTTCCATACCCCCTTCCCATTCCGCATTAGCGAGTAAGTAACGAACGGTATCTCCCTTTTTTAATTTTTCTTCGTCTTTACCAACTGAACGTTTGTATTTTGTGGATGGTCTAGATTCTACTCTATCCAATCTAATTGCCTTTATAGGTGCTAACCCCCATTTCTTTGAGCCTGGTGCGCGTATAAGTCGTGTTGGATAATTATTCAGATATTCAAGAACATTTGGTAAATGTTTAACCTATGCCCTTATTAATTTAGGATTCCCGGATATAGTTTCAACGGCGGATTGAACTTTGTACAGCATCTCTGCTAATGTCTTACAAAATCTGTCTACGATTGCAAGACCTCGATGAGAATACGGGCCTATAACCCGGATTGTAACTTTATGCGCTTCCATTATTTTTGAAGTTGCACCCATAAATTCTCTACCACCATCGCATTGTAATAAATCAGGCCAGGTAAGAGGAATGTTCGAATTATCATAGATTTTCTTAAATGCTTTGGCGACTTCTGAACTGTTCTTCGATGTCAATGGAACAGCCCATTTAAAACGAGATCCGACGTCTATGAGGGTAAGTGCCCATTTATATGTCTTTTTATTGACAGTATCATTTGTAAGGCGTAACAAATCACACATATGTACGCAGTTTGGACGTGAAATTTTTCCATAACTCACCCGTGGAGTATTTTTTGGTGATGGAGCGTATTTTTGCCATTCATTCTGATTATGCAACCATTCACGAACTTTTTTATACGGGAAATTATATCCTTCTTTTTTACATGCGTTTCTTAAAGCTTTTGCATTGGAATGGTAACCAGTAGGTTTATAATAAAGCATGCTCAGGACAATTTGCAATTCCTCATCTGGATAGATTCTAATAATAGGCTTGCTCAATTTATGCGAAGCATGGTCTAAGGACTTACTCATTTTCGATGTTACTTATTATAGTAAAAATTATGTTTAGCAAAGTCGACAAGATCCCCGATAACTCACTAAGAATTATTTCACTTCAGAAAAATATTGCCTAATCAAATAGAAATGGCCAACCCTCCTCCATCACCAAGAATGGATAGCCTTGTCGGCGTATATAATATAAATCATTTCTGTCAAAAGGTTAGAGAATATATAACGTATATTCCCCGGAATAATAGAGTTACAATTGAGGGGGCGTTAACAAATCTCACAAATGCTTACAACCAGTCCCAAAATGAGATAGTAAGACTGAGCAGTGATTTAGCACAATCAATGGAAAATGAGCGAATTGCAAATGAAGATGCTATGGGTTGGCAGGATTATAATGCAGACATGCTAGTTGCGTGGAACAGATGTGTTGAAAAATATAATGGCGAACAAAAAAAGCGTATTTTTTGGAGAGTAAACTGCGAAATTTTACTGACAAAATTTCAATTGTCTAAAGCCAAGCACATGAAATGGAAACACAAGTCAAAAGTTAAACACGAAAAATATAGTAAATGGAAGCTTAGAACGAGGCTAGTCCGCGATACTAATTTAGAACTTGAAGAGCGAATTAATTTTTTAAATGAGAGAATTTTAGATTTACAAAATAATATACCGCAAGAATCATAATAACAATCGAAACATGGCAGGATATGAATTAACAAAGTTTAGCGGATTGACAGATCCAGAAGATTTTATTAGAAATTTTCGCCGATGGTGTGAATGTGCTAATTATGACCCAGGTGCTGGACATAATATGCGAATGAGAATTCATGGAATTTTTGAAAATTGTCTCGAAGGCGATGCGAAAGATTGGTATGAAGGCAGGATTAAAAATAAAAATTGGGAATTACAAAATATTACTGCAAATACTGGCGTAGTAACTCTTAACGCTATTAACGCATTGACTAATAATCAAATACGCGCTATCGATGTTGCCAGATTTAGAGGTAGAGCTCGGACTATTTGAGAGACCGCACCAGCCAATGGCGATCTACCTGCGCGACCATTAGTTCCGCCTCATTCAGTATGGGATGAAGATTGGATAACATCAGGTGGACAGCCAACTGACTTAGCTCCCAATCCTCCTAATGCGGGTAATAATGGAAATGTTGTAGCTCCAAGTATTACGATTGGCCAAGTAATTGATTATTTTCGACGCACCCTACCATTACTGCAGAAAAGTCACAATTAATATTTCACTCTCTGTCCCAGGGTAATGATCCAGTAAATCGTTTTTATTCGAAATTAAAAAGATTGATTAAACAAGCTTATCCCGCATTAGCAGAAGCGAATCAGGAGGAGTTAATTAGACAACAATTCTTTAAGAGAATTTCGCATGATAACAAATTAGAAGTAACTCGTATTGGTCTTGAACATCCGATTTCTACCTTAATACGGAAATTGGAAGAAATTGAAAGACGGAAGGCGGAATTAATGTTAGGGCAGTACGATCCCAATTCTCATCCAGTCACCTCTCATTCACGATCTACAGCTAATACAAAAGATTCTTATATAACAAGCAATACAGGTATAACTGAAACCGAAGTCAGAAACTTGGTAAAATCTATGATGTTATCTGAACAATCTCAACCTATTTCTACACAGTTAGCTCCTCAGCAAATACAACCACCACAACCGTCTCAGCTGTCACAACCATCTCAGCCATCTCAGCTGTCTAAACCTTACTATGGACCACAGCCCTCAGGAACATACCAAACTGTACGAGATACAAACATTGGTAGATTTATACAGTGGATCACTGGGGAAATTCCAGAATTTGTTCCCGTCCCCCCAAGCCCGATTTACCTCCAAAACCACAGATAAAAAAAGCAGAAGTCGACTCTGATGAAGAACTTTCTAATCACATGAGTAAGTTGTCAATAAATAAGGCTATATCTAGACAGGTCAAGAAGGAGATTAAGAGATTGTCCCAGCACAGGTGCTCAAACTGTGGTAGAACAGGTCATAATTCTCGCAATTGTAAATATAAAAAGCGAAGGTCTAAGAATAGATCCAAAAAGACAGGTAGTGTTAATAAGGTCACTGTGGATTCAAGCTCTGAGCCAGGTTCAGATACTGACTCTTCTGATAACGATTCTTCAGATAATAACTCCGATTCTGAGGAAACTTCATCTGAATCTGAAGCTGATATCAATGTCAATATCACGCATTTAAAAAAAAGTAAAGAATAGTTCAAAAAATAAGTCTCCTTCCAATAAGAACAATTCGAATAAATCATCTTCTAAGAAGTCCAAATCACGCAAAATGAATAAAGACATATCTACTTCCAATAAATCAATTACCCTTAAACAGAATATTCGTCAAATTTTATTAGAAATGCTCGAAAAGGTCTTACTCCCGCACCAGTTGGAGAAACTTAAATCTGGAGATAAATATTTATTCATTCCGGATTTCACGAATCGCCGAGATCCGATCCCAGCAATACCTGATTCAGAAGACGAAGAGACATTGGATGATCCTATGGAAATTGATTTTGTTCAGAGAAAAAGATCCGGCTACAGATGTTGTAACTACAAAATGCAAGATCAAACGATTAATAATCCCGGCGGCCACGGTAGATCCTGGTGCAAATTTTCCAATTATGTCTGAAGATATAGCTAAACGATTAAAGTTGGTAATTGATACGAAAGAAAAACATGATCTTAGAGGTATTGCTACTATTCCTACAGAATCTCTTGGAACTACCCGAAATGTAGCAGTAGACTTTATTCCAGGTTGTACTATATGTTCCGATTTTGCGGTAGTCAAATATCCCAAACCCATGCTAATTTTGCCAAATACTCTCCTAGATAAATATGATTATGATTTGCTCGCGTCGAAACGAGAATTAAAGCTCGTATGTAATGGTAAAGAGTATTTTATTCCGATAAACATGCACAAAGTCAAGAATAAACTTGAAGTAAATTGCGCTACTGCATCTCAAGATGATAGGGACGGAGTCCCATTGCTTTGCAATAAGCCTTTGGTATCCGATCAAATTTCACAGAATACCAATAGTAATGAGAGTGAGGATAATGAATCATTGGAGAAATGGCATGCTCCCGCGGGTTTTAGTTTAGATTCTGATGATTCAACTTTAAAAAAAAACGCATGAGTTTATTTCTGTATTGAGAGGAGTAGATTCTGAATATAAAGTCTCTCTTCTGATTTGATTAAAATTTCCGGATGGAGTTGATGAGGCTAGTGTAGGCTCTTTAAGCCATGAGTGTAACTCGCCCTACGGGCCTGCTCTGCAATAGATATAGGTAATATTTCAGTGGAAATGGTACTTTGTATTATTTGTTGTTGGCGCTCTCGATCTTCCCATATATCATCTACTCGATGTTCATTAATATGGAAATCTCTCATAATTCTATACTTAGGTACCTTATCTTTGAGAGATCTAATTGTTTCTATCTGCTCAGAAGTTAGATATGTAGATTTTCGGCGATAATATGATTTTAGAAATGGTGTATTCATGGTTTGATTTTTTATCCAATATTTAAAATGATATTTAATGTTTTAGAATAATAAAAAATAACATCTATTATTATAGATGAATATGAAATATTAGCGTAAACAAGTCTTCAGCTAATAAAACCAACACAAAGTACTAGAAACCGAAATAAAAAATTAATATATAACCTTATTCAACAATATCTAATATATTTTTTTAATAGTCTAGGTTATTTAACATTAAATATCGTTATATAATAATAGAAATTATTAACGAAATTAGTTTTATCAATATCTGTATACTATCTATTATTAGCGTAGCAAACGCAAAGTGCTGATATGACAAATGTATATACATTACAAAATATTAAAGGCCATCGACTTGGTAGTATACGCGAAGAAGAGCTAGAAAAAAAACTACACAATGCTATCAAATCCAAAGCCAAAATTAATAAGCTTAGCGAGAAATTGCAGGATAAATACATAAAGCAAATGAAAGCGTTTGATCGGGAAAGAAAGGGGTGGAATCGGGATTCGTTACGAAATAATACCGAGATCCAAAAGTTACGCACCCACGCTTTGCAGGTTATTAATGAGCATAAGCAACTACAAAATGAAAATACCAATCTTAT